ATCGTAAGCGGTCTCTAGCAAGACATCACGACTACCCAAATCATATGAGGATAGTTGAACGATGTAACTTTCATACAACCATATACGTCCCTTTTGTCACACGACATTTTGGTTATGGATGAGGCATGGAGAATGTCATCCTCCTATTCATGACCGTTACTTTCTCAATCCCTAAGTAGTCTGAGTATAGAAATGAAACTACCTTTCCATTATAGTATGGCCATACATTTCTCAGACTCACTCATCGAGGGGCCCAGTAATATCTCTCTACAAATGTGAGGGACAAATTCCATCTTGACCATTCACATTCCTCCGCATGAAAAACCACTAAGCCTGAACATAGTCTTTATGATCACTCGGTCAAAAGTGACTTTTGACTAGGTCAAAGTTGAGCGTTTCTCATGTAGGAATCCATGATGATCTCAGGTCAAAGGGCACAATGACATGGTTTGTATATGAGAGAAGCTTATGACTTAATCCATGCAACTCTCTCATAGCGGGTCAGTCCAACACCTTGTACTCTTACATGTGCCTATGACTTTGATTTATATCTCTATATATCTTCAAAGTCATACTGGTCTTATTTCATCTCTGCTCCCACATAGATGACCGACCAGGGACATTTAGGATAAATCATAAGTTATCCAAGGATAGTCATCACAGTAAACATGCAAATAATATGATAACATAATTAAGAAATTCATAAATCAACAATGCTCATAACACAATGATTGGCCCATAGGGCACAATTTCCAACAGATAACCAGTTCAGCCAGCACCTAATAAAGAGAAGAAACAGAATTTTTAACCATATAAAGAAAGAAAACAAGGCAAGGATCCATTTAGAACCAAGAACTAACCTTGAATTCTTGGTTGAGTGACCAAAGTTGGTAGCTTTTCCCTTGTTTCTCTTGCAAACTCTCTCTTTTCTCTCTCTCTCACTTGGTCAAACTTCACATCTAAAATTAGAGAGGAGAAGTGCTTGTTTAATGAGCCAAAATATCCCAACCACCATCATAAATGAAATTCCAAGTGTCATTACCTTCTTTAATCTTACTTTCTCTTTCATAATTAACTAAATCCAAATGAAATTAATTACCAAAAGTTAAAATCCTCTCCATTTGAGGAACGACACTTGGTAAATTCAAATCCTCTCCATTTGAATTGCAAGACTCTAGTCTTGCTTTATCAGTACACTTTGACTTTGAGTTTAACTTTCTTTCTGTAATTACAGTATTCTGGCCTCTGTAATTATTTTCTGTCATATCCCTAATTTATTCTCCTCATTTTTATCTTCCCAATTTGCGCTCTTTGTCTCAAAATTAATTTCCCAATAATTAAATAAAAAAGAAAACTAATTTCCTTCTCTTTAAGGATTATTTCATTTTTCAAAGGTATTGGGAAAATCTTGGATACTTGAGGGTTTTCTTTTAATTCCATAATCTATTATAATTCCTTGGGATATCATAGAAATTTTCTTAGAATTTTATTATCCTTAAAAATATTTATTTGGAATTTTCCAAATAAAATTCCTTAAATTGGCCTAATATAACCTTAAATTCTTGTATAATTTCTCTAAGGGTAATTTGGTTAGAAAACCAATTTTATAATCTCATATAATTATCAAAGGATATTATCCTTACTTTTCCTTAATTTTCTAAGGCTTGAAAATATTTTTCCATAATTACATTTGACCAATTTTCCTTAATTAGTCAAATTTTCATAATTGGCTTGAAAAATCGTAATAATTATTTTCCATCAAAATTCTTCTATTTTTCCTTATCTTTTTGGTTCTTAATTGGATAAAAACTTCTAAATATTTATGTACCTTCACTCTAATTTATTTTTTTAACTTGAGCAATAGACCATTGCGGCCAACCTATACAAGATTTAGACGGGTTGTTTGGAATGACAGTAGAATCCTTTAAAAGTAGCTTATTAATTATAATTTACAAGATATGATATAAATATGTAAGAAAAATTCTGTCTTGAATTATGTGAATAAGTGTCGTGATCACAAACAAACACTTAAGTGGCTTCATATAATATACCTCAAGTGAAAACAAGCCTTGCGGTTTCAACCACATTTAAGTAAATAACCTGTATATGTATGTATGTATTCTTCCTGGAATTTGAGGTAAGTAAACACCATTCTTCTTCTCCGTTTTTTTCCCCCCCGTGTGCTGGTGGGATCTCCAACCAGATTTGGTCCTTAATAATTTGGTTTCGCATTCCCCTAACCAAAACATCCACCTCATGCAGTAAGCTAAAATCATGTCTATGTGCAAGGAAATAAATAGAGGGTAAATATGGAAAGATGAAGGAACATAGGATTATGCCATGGAAGATGAGTGGAATAACTTATAAAATCTGACTGCACTCTTACTTTGCTCGGTCAGAACGATACCATCGGTACGTACTTGCAAGAGGTCCAAGAATAATAGTTTGGCTTTAATTAAATGGAATCATTTTCAAATTTCATTTTAATAATACATTAATTTTAATTTATCTTAATTATATCATAATTACAGAAAAAATGACAAAACAACTTGCGGATGACAAATTATTTGATCTAAGAAAGAAACCAGTTTTAGTACTCATCGCAAAAATAAGAATCATGACACTTATCAAATTTCAACCATTCAAATTTAGTATGGATGATCGAGATTTAATGTTTAATATTGTTGTTTGTTAAAATGTGTTTTTCTTTTAATAGGTACATAATCCAAAATAAATATAATCTCTTATGCCAGTTTTTAAGAAATAAATTTTTTATTTAAAAATTACTAGCTGAAAATTTTAAATCTAAACCGTTAAAATTGATTTTGAATAGTTTGTGATGAGCATCATGGTGCTCATCTAGAAGATAATAGAAAACATTATACTAATATTTGTTATGTTTATATGAAATTAGTTTATTTTGTAAGGGGAAAAAAACTTAAATTAAGTTCTTCAATCATGCATGGCCTGATGTTCTTTTTTGTGTCATATAAATTTATAATTAAATTTTAATATTTTAAAAATAGAACATATGATCATGTGTCCAAAAGTAGTAGTTATCTCAACTTAAAAGTTATTTTTATTTAATAATTTTTTAGATTCTGAATTTTTTTAAATATTGTTATTTGTTTCAATTATTTTTTAATCTTTACCCAACTCGGAGAGTGGGCGACATATTAGTTCAAATAATAAAAGAGCAAAAATGAAAAATCTCTGTTAAAATTACAAGAACAGCAAAATAAATTCTACTTTACAGGATTATTACCAAATTTCCCGATTATTATTACCAATCTTAATCCATTTTTTTTTCCATTTAAATTCCAAATATCGATATCTGATCGCCATCGCCCATCTCTTCGGCAGAGAGCACCCACTTCTCCCATTGCTCTGTTCACTCTTACACTGTTGGAAAAAAGGGACAAAAGAAGTCTCGCTGCCGTTTGGCTAGCTTATCGTCTTGATAGAAATGTCGTTTATCAATCCATTAAGGAAAAAGAAGTGCCCCAACCCTGAATTAATCTGGCCATCTCAGTGGCGTCATTTTGCCGGCAACGATGACGCCATCAATCTCGACAAGAAATGGGTGAAAGGCACTCTTCTTTCTTCACATCTGAACCCTAATTTATTGCCATCACAATGCTACGCCTTGCATTTCTTTCTATTCCTTCTCAATCATCTTTCAACCGGCCATCATGGATTGTAGTCAACTTGGGCGGGAGAATCTACGGAAGGAGCTCAACAAGATCAATAAGGAAGTCTCTAATCTTAAGCGTGTGAGTACATATGGTTTCTTCTCTCGTTTCAGAAGTTTTGCTATGCGACCGTCAAGCTCTCAATTCTAGTTGGTTTTTTATTCGCGAACCGATAATTAAATACCCGGGAACTTGTGCAAAAGGGCTAATATGATACAGAATGTAACTTGTTTTTTTGGGAGTAAAGGTTATATAAACAGTGTGTGTGTGTTTTTTATTTTGGGAGGTTCTAACTTTACCTTGTGTGGTTGGTTTAATTAAAAAACAAGAAAGGAAAGGATATTCAATGATATGGTTCAAGGGAGGGAGAGAAGGAAAAGTAACAATTAATTTATCATTTCATCTTTATATATTAGTTATATTTTTATTTATATATTATATAAATTCATTTATATCTTATTTTAAATTATATAATTCAATAAATATTCAGTCTTATCATATTAATATGTGTATTTCAAAATCAGTACAGTAATTTTTAATTTTAATAATTGTAATAACATAATTTAAATAATCAAATTAATAAATTTTATATGCTCCAAAAAAAATGAGAATTTTTCCTTTTCTATTTTTTCCCAACTTTAAAATATATTTTAATTAATAACATAATATATTTGTAAAAAATAATTCATTTTGTAATAATATAATTTTTCATTGCAATAATATTTGTTATTTAAAATTAATTTTTATTATAATAATATATTTTTTAATTTTTTCTTATGATAATATATTTTTGTGTAAAATAAATATTATAATAATAGATTTTATATGTATTAATGAAATATAACAAAAGTATGAGGACAAAAAGGTCTAATATTTTGGCTTCCCTCCAAAAAATCCCAATTTGAAAGAAACCAAAATGGGGATAGGGGAGGGAGGGGAGAGGAGGGGAGATTTTAGTTTCTTTCTTCTTCAAAATTTCTAACTAAACGAGAAGAGGAGCTCATTTTCCCTCTCCTCCTCTACCCTTCTCTCAACAAAATGCACTCCAATTGTTCCCAAGTGTTGGGGCTGATTTATGTTCTCGTTTTAATTATCTTGAGAAAAAATTAAAAATACATGTGACAATAGCAAACTAGTGGCATTTTATCCTGGCTCAGAAGAAAAGGGGATAAGTGCAATGCATGTTCCAAGTGGTCCCAATGAAAACAGTTACGTGGAAGACTTGGGCATTGACTCAATAATAATGGTTTGTGGCTACTAATTCCTCTTCCATTATTGAAGTTTCTTGCTTTTTGTCATATGGAGTGGGAATTCCTTCCATTTTTTATTCATTAATCACTCTGTTCTTCCTCGAATCAAAAGACAAAGGGCAAAAGGCAAAGTTTCTGATACTACCTAAATCTCTTTCCTGAGGTAAAATTGCATTCTCATTGTATTTGTTTTCATTTTGTATTCATATCGTAACTTACTATGTGACTTTTTCTACATGTTTAATTTACAGTTCTAATTTTTATACAAGAGAAGATCTTCCCGTTCTGAAGTATATCTGGAATTTTTTTTATCTTCTCAGATCAACAGGACTTGTGTATTTTTCTGTCTGCTGTAGTTTCAATACCCAGAAAACAGAGGAAGCTATGTGGTTGAAGGCATATTCTTGCAGTGTTTGAATATATGAAAAAAAGGTAAGTATACATTCCTATGGTTTCTTATTTCATTGTGTTCATATCGTCATTAACCTCTTGTTTATTTATCGAATATTGTGGATCCATTAGTTTCAAAATTAATATTCTGTATAGTTGGATGCGCTGACTATATCCTCATATCCATGCTAGATGTCAACCTTCCCTGTTAACGTTGATGTTCCATGCAACATTCTCCAATGTTTGTTGGATCTACTGAAAAGTGAAGCTCACCACTTATGCTGTTTTAACAATCATGTTAAAAACTTTGAGAAGAAAAAGAAAATACTAGCTGCAAAACAACAGGATGTAAAGATTAATATTGAAAATGCTAGTGGTGTTTCAAGAGTTAAGAATGAAGCGCAGCAATGGGCACAGGAAGCTGATAATCTCATTGAGGTTGACCCAAAAACAAAGAAGAAATGGTTTTTTGGCTTGTTTCCTAATTGCTGCTGGCAGTATCAGAGGGGGAAGGAGTTAGCAGAGAAGACTTTGGAAATTGAAGAACTACTGGGAAGATGTAGTTTCAACATAGTGGCAGGTCCAGCTGATCTTTCAAGTATAAAGTACCATTCTTCATCAATCTTCATTCATTTTGAGAGTAGAAAGTTGAAATTCCAAGATCTGTTAGAGGCATTAGAAGATGGAAATTGCAATTTTATTGGATTGCAAGGCATGGGGGGTACAGGCAAAACCTCAATGGCAATAGAAGTGGGTATTAAACTGGAAGAATCCAAATTTCACAGTGTCATCCTTGTTGCTATGTCTAATCCTCCAGATTTCAGAAAGATCCGAGGTGAAATTGCAAGGCATTTGAATTTGACGCTAGAGGAGGGAAAGGAAGAAGAACACTCAAAAACAATATGGTCTAGAATTACTAATAAGAAAGAAAAGCTTCTTATAATACTAGATGATGTATGGGAAGAGCTTGATCTTATAAAAGACATAGGAATCCCATCTAGCCACCAACACAAGGGTTGTGTTGTGCTTATAATCACTCGTAATTTACATGTTTGTGAAGCAATGGGATGCCAAATGGTGATTCAACTAGAGATGTTGACTGATAAGGAAGCATTGAGTCTTTTTCTAAGGCATGCTAATACTTCCTCAAGTCGTTTGAAGGGTATGTCACAGAACATTGTGAAGCATTGTGGAGGTTTACCAGTTGCAGTTGTAGCAGTAGCAAGAGCATTAAGAAGTCGGCCCTTAGCAGTTTGGAGGGAAGCTTTGAAAACCTTGCAAAATTCTAAGTCAATGATTGATGTTGATGAAAATTTAGCAAAGATTTATAAATGTTTAAAGTTAAGCTATGATAACCTAAAGAATGAAAAAAGCAAAGAACTCTTCTTCATATGTTCTTTGTTTCCAAAAGATTTTGGCATTTCTGTAGAACTTTTAAGCAGAATCGGTATGGGAGTGGGGCTTTTTGGGGAAGTTGAGAAATACTGCACAACAAGAAGCAAAGTGCTTGCAACTATACAAGAACTTTTGGATTCTTGTTTATTATTAAATGCTGAAGAAGGATTGTTAACGATGCATGATTTAATTCGTGAGGTGGCCTTGTGGATGGCTAACAAGGACATTCAGGCAATCACGGATTTGAGAACAGCTATAAAAACAAACTTGCGATATTTGTTTTGGAGCTCTGATTACTTACCCAGTCAATTTGATGGTACAAATCTAGAGATTCTTCTAATAAATCTAGATGGTTTGGAGGATTTGAAGGTCCCACATGCATTCTTTGCAGAGATGACGAGGCTCAAGGTATTGCATTTAAAATGCACTTATGTTCACTCACAAATTTTAGATTCGTCATTCTTATGCTCACTTCAATCGTTGAAGTGTATCCAAACTCTTTGTTTGATGAATTTGAAATTAGGCAATATCTCTATGTTTGGAAACTTACCAAGTCTTGTGTCTGTTGAGTTGAATCATTGTTCAATCATTGAATTACCAGAAGAAATTTTGAGATTAAAAAAGTTGAGATTGTTGGAGATGAGAGAATGTAAAGTGAAGATGAACAACCCTTTTGAAGTGATAGAAAGGTGCTCCCAGCTAGAAGAGTTGTATTTTGTTGGTAATGGGAATTGCATAAATGAAAGCATGGTTCCTCAAAATTTGTCTCCTCCTACATTGCAAAGATATCAAATATCGTTTCTTGAACTTCTAGATGAATATGAAAAGTATGGTTTGATATCAAGGTACTTCTTTCCACATGATTTAAGACATGCAATCTCAGAGGCAACATTTAAGAAACTTGTGGGAACTGCTGAGTTTCTCGTATTAGGAGGGTATGAAGGAACAAGTTGGAGGAATCTTGTCCCTGATGTTGTTCCTTTGGAAGATAGAGGCATGAATGATTTAATTATCCTTCATATGTATTCTTGGTCTGACATACAATGCCTGATTGATACTAGGAATCATTATTTTGATGTGATTGCATTCTCCAAGTTGATTGAACTGCACCTTTTTGAAATGGATATTGAAGATTTATGCTGTGGTTCTCTTCCGTCTGGCTTTCTTGAGCAACTGGAGATCATGGAGTTAAAAACATGTCCAAAATTGCACAACATATTATTTAACGGCAAGTTAAATCTATGTCACCTTAAGGCAATAGAATTGAGAGACTGTACAGCATTGACATCAATTTTCCAACCATCTACTGCTCAAAGTTTAGTGCTATTGGAAGAATTAACAATTAGTGACTGTCATGCACTGGAACACATAGTTTTATATGATTCAGGAGATGACATAGTTGGTGGTTGTGATCAAAAGAGTATAGAATCGTTCCCAAAATTAAAAACTCTTACAATTGCGAGATGTGACAATTTAGAAATGATATTACCAGTTCTTTTTGCTGGAGGTAATCCACCTTTGGAAGTTATAAGTGTGAGTGATTGTGAGAAATTGAAATACATGTTTGGCCAGTATAGGGAGGAGGAAAATGTGTTGTTTCAAAATGAACAGGCAACAATGCTCCCCTTTCTGTTAGAAATGAAACTCTGTAAAGTACCAAGTTTGGTTGGCATTTGCCAAGAATATTGCAAACAGTCTTCACTTGTGCAAGTGCCATCATCTTTAGTTCTAACAGATAGTTCAAAGGAGAAACTTCCTAATCCTGATACATGTGCTGTCTCTTGGGTTCGTATATGTTGTTTTCCACATGAATCCCGGACTGCCACAAATAAAGAGACTGAGGCCAGTGCTACTAAATCTAAGAAGAAATTGCTTGACCTCTCAGTCCCCCTGGTATGTTACACTACACTCTTTCTTTTTGCTCAAGGCTCTCTTTTATAAATAGACTAGCAAATATTCGCTTGCCTAAACTAATTAGATTCGGGTACTGTGCGTATCATGGAATCTAAGACGAGCAACATGTTTATGATTGATTAATAATGCAGGTTCCTATAGATTATTTATATTGATATATTGATAATTAGTAGTTATTATTGTGTGGATTTACTCAAAAAAATCGAATAGCTTACTATAAATGACAAAAAGCTTTTATGGAAAATTTGATAGATTTGAAAGTAGTTGTAACACTTTTGCATGTTGTTTACTCAATAATGTTTATAGAGCATTTATTCTGACTTCTTAATTATGTACCTAGAATCCCAAAGTTTATGTTTCCAGACGAATGTGGTTCAACTATTTAAATTGTGTTATGCATGTAATGGACACTAGAAGAAAAATCGTGAAATAATAATTGGGCATATGTGAAGGGAGCTAAATATTATTTTTCTTGAATTTTTGATAGAAAAACAAAATCTTCGACTGTTATTTCTCGCCTATGGGCCATAATGAAACTGTTAGTCTGTGGAACATTGATTTGTTATTTAATGGTGATTTATTGTCTGAACTGATCTAATAGTGACTTCTTTTTGTAGGGGTTACATGATACAGCTCAATCCATTGTGACACAACTATTCCACTTTCGCAATATCAAGAAGATGAATCTTGCAAACTTTGCAAATTTATTATCATTGTGCTCCTTATCCATTGCTTCAATGGTATTGTGGGAAGAATTGACAATTGAAAAGTGGGATGATTTAAAGCACATGATCACAAATGAGGCAGATAATCATGATGATCTTATAAACTATAGATCTGTTTTCCCGAAATTAGAGAAGCTAGAAATTTGGGACTGCAAGGAGTTAGAATTTTTATTCCCATCCACGTTATTTGGTGGACTCAAAAATTTAAAATCCTTGACTGTCAAGAATGCCCCAGAGCTAAAATTTGTTTTTGGGAGATACTCTCATGAGGATGATTTATTAAATCAGAAACAGAATGGTGTGCTTGAAGTTGTTTTCCCGGCTTTGGAAGTCCTTTGCCTGGGAGATGTACCAAAGATTATCAGCATTTGTGCCATGAATTATTACATGACCTGGCCATCGCTACAGATTGTTGTTTTGGAGAACTGCAACATCAAATCTTTTACTGGTTTGATGGTTTGTTCGGATGAAGGACAACTGAGGTGGAATACTACAAAGGTAACCATTTTATCTATTTTGATCTTAAAATTACAAAGGTAATTTTATGAAAATAAAATTGTTTGACTCTGCTAATTTCTTAAGATTGTAGGTGAATTTTCTTTTTCAACTGTTGTATCTAATATGTACTGTATAAATGTTAAACTAAGGATAACTTGCATGTTTGTAGGAATTGCATGAATCAAGAGGTGAGATTCTTCCTCTCCATGCAGATCAAAATCCTCAGCTTCAACCATTGAACAATATTAGAACAATGAAACTTGTGAACTGTTCAAACTTAGTGTCATTATTCGCTCTATCCTTTGCATCTCATATTTTTTTGGAAATTCTGATAATTGAAGAATGTCATGAATTGAGGTGCATAGTAGCAGACGGGGATGATGTTCAAGCTCTCATGAACTGCAGATCTATATTCTCTAAGTTGAAAGAGTTACATGTTCTGAGATGCAATGCAGTGGAATATCTATTTCCAGCATTTGTGTTTAGATCTCCCTCACATTTGAAATATGTGACCATCTCTGACGCTCCTAAGTTGAAATATGTGTTTGGAACAAACCATCATGATGATACTTCATGTCATGAGAATCAAAATATTGAGACTTACATTGATTTCCCAGCTCTAGAAAGCTTATGCCTTGAAGTTGTACCAAATCTTGTCAGCATTTTCCCCAAAAACTACTATATAAGGGGGCTGTCTCTAAAGTCCATTGTTCTGGATATATCTCCTAAGTTTGTTATTAAATCTTTTACTGATTTCATGATTGGTTGGCATGCAAATCAACATGATTTCACAACCACAAAGGTATGTCCTTTTCCCAATTTTCCTTCTTGTCTTGGTATATTTTCTCCAGTTAACAAGTTAAATTTGATTGATATTACTCAATATCAAAATGCTTTTGGTTGCAAGAATGGCCAATGTATTTATACGCATGTGTATTAATTTGTTAGGGTTGGACTGACCATGGATTTTTGTTATGAGGCAACTGTGGAATTAATATTCTCTCATGGAACATACAGGTCATGGAGAAGCGCTTTCAAACTTTGACAGATCTTTCAGTACATGACTCCAAAATAGAAGATATTTTTAATTTGACACATTTGAAGGTTGAGAAAAATCAAGGAGGACTTGTATTGGAGACATCAAGCTTAGAATACCTGACGTTGCAAAATTTGAGTGAGTTAAGGAAAATATGTGACGGCCCAAAGTACACTCTGAGCCTCAAAAATCTCAAGAAAATAAAAATCATAGCATGCAAAAGTCTTAAAACTGTCTTCTCTGTCTCTATATTGAGAAGCTTACCAGAGTTGTGGAAGCTGGAGATAATGGACTGTGAAGAATTAGTTAACATCGTCGATGAGGATGATGAGGAAAATGCTGGTGATCATTTGTCTCATGATCCATGCTTTCCAAAGTTATATGAACTTCATGTTAAGTCTTGTAACAGGTTAAAATACCTGTTCTCTATCTCAGTCTCTGGGTTCCTTCCCAACCTAATGTTTTTGAGTATAAAGGAAGCCTCCAAGCTTGAACATGTACTGATAAGACAAGGTGAAACGAAAGAGATGGTGATGAAGGATTTACTTCCAGAGCTATGTAGTCTGCACTTTGAGGAACTTCCTAGTCTTGTTGGTATCTGCCATGGGATTGATTTCCAAGCTGCTCGCACATGTTCTGAAGTGTATAACTGTCCCAATTTTTCTTTCTATGGTATGCATTCAGAAGAATCACTCTTTAAAATTGACAATTATCATGCAAATTTTAATATAACCTTGAAAATTCTGCTTGCAGAAATTAGTCCTGCTCATCTTCAAGCAGGCCTTGAAAATCTAGATTCTAAAGTTCAGGCATCAGAAGGCAAGATTTTTCCTTTACGTATAAATGCCCATCAATTTGGTAAGAGAGGAGCCGAAGGGAGACAAGACTTGGAAACACAAGAATCTTCAATTGGTTCACCAAGGGTATATCAAATACTAACCTAATAGAACCAATATTTTCTCTTACACTGATGATTTAAGCTTAACTAGAAACCTTTTTTTCCCCTTGTGGTACTTGTAAGGGTATAAATGAGGAGATAAAAGAAATTGATGAAGAGAATCTTATTTCAGAGATGCCACCAACAGAGTCTTCATCATATGATTCAGAGTCTATAGGACAACTTGTACGTGTAAACTAATTGCAATATTTTCGTATCTTTTGATGTCGGTCATAATACGTAGAAGTAGTAAAGAATAATATTGCTTTCTGATAGTGAAAACAAAGAAAACGTACTTATTTTATCTTTTTCTTTATGAAGACTAATAACGTAGGTTATTCAAGGGTTCTAGAGGGTTGTAGATCGGGAAGAGCTATATCAACAAATCAATTGACTTATTCGGAATCAAGCAATGCAATATCAACAAGGGCAGATCTTATTCTTTCTCCTCAGATATCTCCAAAGGTGTGATTTTTGTTCTTGCCAACATAGATTTATAGATTTAAGCTAGATGGTTTTAACTTGCATCTTATTCTTTTCCCTTCTTTGAGTAGCATGGGCTCATCATTAGCAAAGAAGTAAAAAAAATAAAAAAATAAAAAAATAAAACAATAATGATGGATCAACAAGCACCATGAAACATGATCCGCATCATAATGATTCAAAAAAGAAAAAGAAAATCAAAAATTGATGGGAGATATTTTCTTTAATGCTTTATCATCATAGACAAATTCTACAGAGATGGGTCTTTGGCAACCATTTTGTCATTTAATCTATCTTATTCCTTTAGTAATGATCAATGATTTCTGGCAGAAGGCACTGGTTCCTATGAGTTCAATTCTCATTGCTCTTCCCACGGAAAGTAGGACTTCTACAGTTACCGAAATTTTTGAGAAGGAAGATGAGGAGGAAGGTAAAATCTTATTATTCAAGACTAGTAGTTCCTTTGGTTTCTTATTTTGGACTTTATAGGTGGCTTGATAACTACCCGCCATCGCCAAAATGACACAACGGAGGTGATTTCTCCCATAGCAGAGGGTCCACAAATCACTTATGGAGGGGCTCCTTTATCTCTCATCCATGCTCTTTCGCCTGAGACTTCTGTTCAGGGTACTTTCTTTGATCTTTGAATGAAATGTTTCATCATTTAATTTGCTAAGTATGTTACTTCATATTCTTTCTCCGTAGGTGACCATTCTGTGCCATCAATAGAGATGGTTGTGAGTGCGCAAACTTCTGAACAGATTTCACCTTTGAGTCTTGTGCTATCAAAATTTTCAGGAAGTCTTGAGCAGACTCTTCCACTTGCTCCTTTCGAGCCTATCTATGGTGAGTTTGCAATAAATAATTTTTTTGACTTCTATTTGAGTGGGCTTGTTGCAATTTCTGGAAATGCCTTCTAGATAGGTTCTATGTATATGTGAGAAATTTTGTATCGGATTTGATCATTTGAGTGAATATTCTTAGACCCATTTGGTATGTAGAATTGAAGCTGGTAGGAAGGGAAAAGGAATGATGAGTGGAACTAAATGAAAAGAACTATGATAAAGTTTATGATGAAAGAAGAATACAGTTCCTATAATTTGTTTCGTAGGATAAAAATAATGAAGAAATGGAAAACATAAAAGCAAAATGACAAACATTACCCTAGTATAAGAAATAGGAAATGACAAGCTGAGTGGTAATGTTCACCCCGTTTGGCCCCTTCCTACTTTTTCTTGAGTGTGCTGGTGATGATGAGACCATTGCCGAAGGAAGTGTGGTTCAAAATGAATGTGAGGCAAATTTTGCATGCTCTGATGATATCTTGGTTTTTGAGGTTAGAGACAGTAGTGGCTCTAGTTGTATTAAGGGATGATGTTAGCGAACAAGGTGGCCAAATAAACAAAAGCGGGAATGTTGGTGTTCATCTAAATCCCTTAGAAATAGAACTAGGGGCGTCACCTTTTCTCTCTTCTGCTGATTATGTTGCATTTACATTTTTTTCCATTATATTTGTTTTCATTAATGTGGTGGTTTGTTAGGTTGCACCATTAAACATGATGTGACAAAGTCAGATGTTCAAGTTTCACCAACACAGTTGCCTTCATCTTCATCCCTTTCTGCCTCTGAAAAAATGACTCCTCCTTTCTCCGTGACTGCTTATGCTTTAACTGTTCCTGGGGTGCAAGAGATAGTTGAGATGATGAATTTAGAGGCTGTTGAGTCTTTCATGCTTGCAAAGGCATTTGAGAGTCATCCACCACTACGTCTTTCTCTGGAGAATCGAAGCCCTCGAATGTTATGCTTCTCCTATAGGGTATTGTTGGATATCTTGAACATTTTGACTACTAGGACTCCTTTATCGATCACTGATGCAGACAAGAGGTCATTGGCAGAAAACTTGAAGGATGCTTCTATCCTTGGTTTTGACAACAATTGGCTAGAGTCCATCAAGACTAAGGTATTTGGTTGTGATATATCTGGAGCTTATCATGCCCTGGAGGTTCTAAAAGGATTGGACAATGAACTCAATACCATTGAGGAAGAGCTTGCAACTATCTGTGAAGAGGAGGAAGAGGCTGCTTTGGCAGTGCAGGTGGCTCAAAAGGAGTTAGAGGCAGCCCAGTTCCATTTTGACTCGGTGCAGCTCGAGCATGCTAATATTAAGGCACATCATAATCAGCTCTTGGAGGCACGACTACGCATTTTGGTCCAACAAGAAGAATGTTGGGAAACATTTGCCGCCAAAGATAGGCATTTTGGTTTATAATTAAGATGTCATAATGTGCTTGCTTTGTGGGTGTCTGTGTGTATTTTACCTTCTGTGACCACGAATCACACTGCTATAAGATTTGTGCTACGTATGGTTGTATTGCCTAAGAGGCACTTGTCTTTGTTCACCTACAAGTTTATAAATTGTATTGGGCATGATTTTGATAGGGTTTTGATATTTGATGGTGTGTGTCATTTGTAATTTACAAACGACGGGGCATTTCGTTTACCCAAAATATTTAATTGTTGTGTAATCTGATGACTTTGATAGCTAATTTTCACTTAGATGAACAAGGAGAAGGTTAACACGTATCTCTTCTTTCTCATGTTTGGGAATGTTCAGTGGATTAAAAAAGGTGAACTATTTTGAACTTCTTTTTTTATTTTAGTAAAATATTCTTATCCAACAGCCGAAATCTGTATTAGCATCAGAAGTTGAATAGACCTTTATATAGAGATATTCTGCTAATTTCCCAAACTACCCTCTTACACCTTAATATCTCTAGCTAGTTCCCACATCTCATTGATAAAACTTTGCCTGCAAAATGATTTGGATAATTTCATTCTCTGTTTAAGGTTTGGTCTTATTGTGTGGTGATCTTTTCAAATAACGTAGAAAAGGTGGACAGTACTACGACATCCTGTTACGTTAGAGCAACTTGGCCTCTTTACCTCCAATAACATCAAGTTATATACTTGTTTCCTAAATAGTTAACATTTGTGATATACACAAGGATTAAGTTGCAAAAATGCTCAAAATATTTTGAGGGGAGGTGCTGGCATCTTTTTTACCCATCAACCCTTAAAAAATGGTGTAAAAAATCCCCAACTCGTAATAGAGGCCATAGACATCTGTCATAGGGATTTTACATTTCACATATTGTGCTGTGTAAATGGGTTGCGGGTGAAAAGATCTACAAAATACAACATTATAATATAGTTTTGTCCATAATTGAAATTTTATTTAACCCAAGTTGTAGATAAGGAAATACATGTGTTTAAATGTTTCCTAACTAACATAAACACATCTAGAAGTTGCAGGAACTCCCGACTCCATCAACTCAAATAAGGGCTTAACCCCCCCATAAAGAGAGTCAGGGGAGAGGATGAATTTGGTGGCTGGAGAGATAATGGAAAGGGGGTTCGAACTAGGGCAGCAAAGATAAGGGAGAGCCAAGATTCGGGATAGCTCCCAAGTAGGTTTTAAATTGAAGATTGTTTTATATGACTGCGATATATGACAAAATAAAAATGCTATGCTAATGATTTTTTTTTTCAATTAGGACAAATTTTAGCACATACTACCTCCAGTTCTTAATATAAGAAATAGTTAACTAATTTGAGGAGATTAACAAAATTAGTTAAATTAATTATTTGTAATAAATAGGTGTTGTTTTTTTTATATAATAATACCCTTACTAATTACGTGTATTAGTTTAATTACGATTCGATGAAACCTTTAGCATATGGAACAACTACAATGACTGTTATATCCCACTAATTTTAACCATAGGAATGTGAATAATAAATTAGACAGAGAGTCAAGTAGTAAAATAGACTCAGAGTCGAAATATCTTTTGAGTTGAGATCTAACTTTTATCTGGATTGATATTTTTGAAATTATCAATCAAGGAAGGACAAAATAAAAAAATTAGAGAAAAATTTTAAAAAATTTCTAGAAAATAGTAAAAAGATAAATCAGGGGGTTTGGAACCCTATTTGAGGCCTTGGAGGTGGAAATAGTATGAAAATAATTTATTACAGAATTTTCTGTAAACAGAGGTTTTTTCGGGTAAAATAATGAAAAATTCGCTAGAAACAATTATTTTAAATATGTACAAGCCTCAATAATTCTGAAAAATATGAGAAAATTATTTGAGGATTTATTTGATTTTATAAAATTATTTTCAGGCCTCAGAAATGAAAGGATTAATTTTAGAATATTTATTGCCGAAATTTTATTGGTAAAGCTTGATTTCAGAGAAAATTCAATATAGATAATTGGAGGTTGAGATAAATTCTAAAAAAATTTAGGGAACCTTTCCATATTAAAATATGATTTTATATGGGTAGAAATGAATTTTTGAAAGTCAAGAAATATTATAAAAAAATTAGACAGTAATTTTAGCCGATACGGCAAAATCGAGTAAAAAATGTTTGGAGATGAAACGTAATACTCCTTCCTTTTTTCTCCAGCCCATTGAAAATTATTTTTGCCCAGAAATGAACAGAAAATATGTGGCCCAAGTGGTCCATATGATTATGGAATAAAATAATGCAAATTTACCCATGATTTTATCCAAACCATAATTGCACAAGGGACACTTGGCTTTATCAAGTTTATAGCAATTTGAGAAGGGGGACACATGGCCTTAATACTCCCTCTTATACTTTCAAATTTGGTTATTTTGGGTACTTAAAGGGGGGAGGTTTTGCTTTAGAAAAACTGAGTTTTAAGAGCCAAGATTGCATAGAAATAAGCCAAGAATTATCAAGCAATAATCAAGGATTAATCAAGGTATCTTAAAGCTTTAATTTGACTATGTTTCTAGCTTGTTTCAAGTGGAATTTGGTGAAAAAATTCCCAAGTATCATGCTGTCTAATTTATGAAATAATGAGGAATGATTAGAGAAGGATAGAAACTATGATTTAAAACTTGGATTAGCTTGCTTGGTTGATGTTTGAATTGATTTTTGGAAGAAACTCTAAGTTTTCTAATTATTGTGACAATTCAGCCAATCTTGGTTCTATGGGTTAAAGATTGTTGTAGTTTAATTTAATGATTCTAATGAGTTTAGAATGTGTTTTTGTGGGGAATATGTCAAGAGAAAGTGTTTGAAAGTATTGGAATAAAAAATAAAAATTCTAACCCTAAACCACATATAATTCGGCCAAGCTTAGTGTAATAAGGAAGAATTTGATAAAACCAAGTTGGTAATGAATTCTACATGAAAGATTGTATAGGAATGGCCCTTGGGACTTATCAAAACAAAGATGAAAATTAAAGTAAAAAAGTCAAAGAGGGTTATAGAATTATCTTGATACCTAATGGTATTTTATGTTTTATGGTTGATAATATGACATATATTTACGCATGGATTGATGGGCTTTGAGCAAAAGAACAAGGAGGAACATTAAGGGACTAAAGAGATAGAAAGCTTTTAATTAGAAAGAAGTAGCATGGAATTTATAATTTTAATGTTAACTTGCTTGGTTATTACATAATGTCATTCCTTGAACATATGCTATGTTGTGTTTGAAATTATTTGATGATGATGACATGTTGGTTGGTTGCATTACATGCCTCGGCAATGTGCATTAACATGTTGATTTGAATGGATTGGAATGATATTTACATGGCATAAAAGTGAATAAATGTTTGTGAACTTATTTGTAATATACCTTGCTTGTTTGAGCTTATTATTATAATTCTTTTGCTATTGAGATTTCTATGAAACCTAATTCCTCTCTATGCTTAAACAACAATAATAGGACCCTCAAGTGGTATGGCCAAGAGTAAGGAGATGGTGTCTCTGTAAAGGAAAAATATTATGGCATCATGTTAGATTTTAAGTAGAAACTTTGTAATAATTGTGAATTGTGAATTATTATCCTGATGACTTTTAAGAGTTGTAAATTATGAAGAATCAATCAATTATATTCTTGAAAACTTGTAATACCCGATTCGTTTAAAGATAGGTTGGATATGAGATTATAGGATCCGAATATCTTTAATTAATGAGATTTAAATAACATCTTAATTGAGATTTGAATATATTGAGTTAAATAGGAAATATTATAAATAAATGCAATTTCAAATAGAGATTCAAATGAAGAAATTAATAATTAACTTTCAATTTGAATAATATCTTAATTGAAATTTGAATATATTAAATTAAATGCGGGGTATCATAATTAAATAGCATGTCAATAAGAGGCTTAAATAGAGAAATAAATAATTGATTTTAAATTTTCATCTATTTGCTATAAATTCTGTATCTCCGGTTCAAATTCCATTAAAATGAATAAAAAATATATATTCCTATTAGAAGTAAATTTATAAAAAAATATATTCCTATTAGAAGTAGATTTTAAGCTATCTTAGATAATGCAATTTATTAAACTTTTAAATATAATCAAATAGGTTAATCTGTGCATCGCATGGGGAAAAATTTCTAGTTACTTGTTAAATGCTGTGATATGTGGCTGAACCATATTTGAATGGTTATAGTTTCATTTGGATAATTTATGCAAGAAAAGGATGAAGTTGACTTAATTAAGGGTAAAGTTTGACCATGTGAAATTTTAAGCAAATGATGGAGTTTGGATCTGAAACTTAATAGTCTAATAGATCATATTTTTATCTTTAAAATGAGTGGTATTCCGTAAAATTTGAATTTTTGTACAAAAAGTTATGCCCTTCCAAAATTGGGTATAAATTCTGAAAAATTGAAAAAAAATATCAAATGAATAGTACATATTGACGTGGAAACTAGACACACATGAGTTGGATTCATACTCTGACTATTTTTTTACCTTAAAGGGCTCATTTCAAGTTTCAAGTAGGACTTGGAATTATATCATTTTGATTTTTTGGAATTAATTATGATTTTTCAAAATTTGGAGAAATCTAGGGTTACAATGAATAATAACCCAAGAAATCAAGTTTAAAAATTCAAAATTCTCTAACTTGATGACTTGAAAAATAGTTCCAAATGCTCTCACTTGATGTAAAATTGGGTAAATAAAGTAAGGTGTTACAATGACTGCTTTAAAAAAAATGAATAAATAATAAAAACAAAGTAGATTGGGGTTTTATATTTATAACCAAATTAAATATCAAAATAGTTCTTATATTAAGGACTAGAGATAGTATATTTATATGTTGAGTCAAATAAAATATTAAAGGTTAATATAATCTTTGGTCTCTCAAGTTTGTTTTCATATTGGTTTTGGATCCTCAAGTTTCAAATTGTAGATTTTGGTCTCTCAAGAAATAAAATGGTTCAAGTTTTTATTAAATTATAGGGATCAATATTTTAAAGGGAAAACTATATTGAAGATACCTATACTTTCTTTTCATTTTTAATTTGGTACCTATGTGTTTTTTTTCCCTTTAATTAAACATTTAATTTTATCTTTTTAGCAACATTAGCTCTTATAACTTTGTTCTATTGATATTTTAGTCTCTACATAAGGATTAATGATGTTAATAGAGGAAAAATAAAGATTTAGTTAAGAACAAAAAACACATAGGTACCAAATTGAAAATTGAAAAAAAGTATAGGTACCTCCAATATGTTTTTCCCTATTTTAAATGAAAAAAATCTGAGGCACCAAAAATTATATTAACTAAATATTAATCTTTCTAACACATTTATTTACGTGTGCCTTGATTAGGGATTGAGGATTTTGACATCGATTTTTTTGGACTGATTAGTGAAATTTCATCTTAGTGTAGTACTTTATGGATATTTTTGCTCCTAACCCATTTACATTTGGCAGAACATGTGGGGCCGAATGCTTCCAAACATGTACTAAGGGGATAAATGGAATAATGTTTCATTTTTATAATAATTTCTCAACTATTTATTCCTCTCTTCTTCTTTTTTCCCAATCCTTGAGGCATCCTGATGTTTTAGACTCCATTACTGATTAGAGCCTTTTGCATTGTTTTTGGGGTTGATGTGTAAAACTGTACTATACTTGAGCAAAAGATGCCAGCAACTTGTCGCCAAATACTTTATACATATTTTTACACTTTAGCCTTATATAAAAAAATAAGAAAAAAAATATAATAAGTCTTGGAATTTTTTAATTATTAATTAAATTCCTAAATTGTAACGTAACAGAAAAGTACTCAGTTATTATAGTTTATTGAGTTAAAACATTAGAGGAATGAAGATGGTTCATACTAAAACAAACTATAAGAATTGAGTTGTCACAGTAAAATATTATTTGTTCCAAATTAAAAAAAAACTACGGGGATTAAGTTATTTTGAGTTAATGTTCAGTAATTGAATTAATAATTAAGCAAAAAGTTTATAGACCAAATGTATTTTTCCTTGATATTCTGACAAATTGATTCCTTTTTAAAATACTCTCTTGCCAGCCAAAAAAAAAAATTAAAATTTTCTTATATTTTCCTTTTTTATTACTTAAATCAAGAAGGGTTACCCCTGTCACATACTGCTGCTATTAAAAACTAATAACTCATACAGCAATTAGAATATTAATATGAAGGTAACACCTTGTGTGATGAATAGAACAAACATTGATGAGAAGAAGAAAGCTAAAAAGTCAACCATAGAAAGGAACTTACTGTTGGCGGCTTGTTCTACGTTCTTGTGAGGCTTACCTTCCTCTTGGCATATTTCTTTCCCATAGTCACTTGATCTTTCTCTCATCAAACTTAGGACTTCAGTGGGAAAATTTCATTTTAAGATCACTATAGCTAATTAATTGCCAAAAGACCTCTTATAATTTTGAAACCTCACTGCAAGACTATAGGAGCCAAATGAAATTAATTTGAGAAGGAAAAAGACAGAAATACCCTGCTGAATGAAAAAGAGAAGAAAAGGGTCATATACGAAAGAGCAGTGGAGATTAGAAGTAGCAGCAGAGATTGGCGCCATACTTAGAGTCTTCGTGAGCTTATCAACACTACCTCTCTATGTAGTATACAACATCACCACCTTAATGAGCTAGTAGAGAATGAAGTGGCAGTAATCTGATATGGTGTCACTTCGCAATCTCCTTATCTAAATTTGAGGTTTGCGAGCATTCTAAAAAATTGTCCCTTTGACAAATATAGTCGCATTTTTGTTGAGTTATGCACTTAGTTGAATCACATCATAGTTGAGCTAAAGTCTAAACTGTCATTTTACAAAGTCTAATCTTCTTCATATAAGTTGCTGAATACTAGTAGTTGGCATTGGGTACTAAGTGTGTCGAAATAGGTAAGGAAGGGATGTGGGTGTCACTTATTCCTCATGCCGGGCTTTGAATAATGAAAGACAAGTCACAAATCTTTGCTTCTTAGGGGGTGTTTGGATAGAAATCAAACCATGGTTTCAGAAGTGCTTTTACGAATTACGAAGTAAATATATGGAGGAGGTTACCTCGTTTTGCAGAAAAATACTTCTGAAACCGTGGTTTTTCTTTTCTATTTACATGTGTTGAGAAAATGGAGGAGCTGAAATTTATTTGTTCATTTTCCTTTCGAGGGTAAGGGAGAACAAATATTTGGATGAAATTATTTGTTGCTTACAAATTCATAGAGTGTATGGTATTTTAGGAATGTGTTATTTAATTGTGTGTATTGTTAGATATGATTAGTTTTGATGACATCAAATATTAGAACAAAAAGTTTGCATCAAATGTTTATCTCTTGCTTGGACTAACTACTATACATAATGCAATTATCTTCTGTAGTTTGGTTAAGAAGGAAAAGAGTTATCACGAGATTGATTCAAAATAAGAAGAACAAAGATAGAAGAAATAAGAAATTGCAAGATCAAATCGGAATATCGAGATTTAAGTTCTTAGATTTAATATTCAAGGTTACTATGCTCAACAAGAAGTTGGAGCAACTCAATTAAAAGTTAAAGTAGTGCAATTGGAAGTTATATCAACATAGCTTGAGTCACCCTTCATCTAAGCTCAAATGTAACCTTCAGAAATGATTTGCACATGTATTTTTTTGATTTTATTATCAATAAACACATTTATCAATAACCTTTTTGAAAAATCACTACTCTGCTGTGCTTTGTTCTTCATTTAGCTCTAATACATCTTTGGTTTTTCTATAATATCTCCTAAACTACAAATCCACTTGGTAAGTCCCATTATTTGTAACATTTCTAGTCCTAAACTTATGCTTTTGCCATTCATGATTGCATATTTTGGGTATAATTAGCTTTCATTGTGCATAAGAGTTCATGAAAGAAATTATGAGATTTTATATGTGTTTTTTTGTGTTTTGTGTGATTTTATATGTGTGTGCTTTTGATCCCTTCTATATTTATACTTAAGAGTCGAGCTTATGTATTTTTGGGGACTATTCTTAAAGAACATGCATTAGAACATCATCTCTTGAGTTGTGTTAATCTAGAAATCTAGAAAAAAAAGTTTAATTATGTCACAAAAATATTTTTTTTATTTCTATGACTTTGTATGGTGAAATTTCTATGAAATATGAGGTTATCCTTGAATATAATTTTTAAAAAATAACAAATAAAACAAGTGAAGAGAGAGAAAAAACACAAGATCATTTATTCTGGTTCAGACTAATATGTCCTACATCTAGTCCCCAAGCACAAAACAAGGGATTTTTATCATAGGCGGTAATTATTATAACATACAAAGCAGCCCAAACATTGACTCTGTTTATCTATGTCACTTTTTATTGTTGTTTTCTGTAAGCTTCCTAAAGCTAAAAATACAAGACTCTATAACATGTCTAGATCCCAAGTTTTACAACTTTTCTCTTCAATATTATGCGATTTAAGCAGAGGAAGAGTATCTCAAATACAAAAGAGAACTTACAGAGAACAACATGCACCTCAAAACATAATAGCTTTGAAATTTAACTTCATTGTTCTGGATATTCGTACCTCCAAAGGTTTTAAAACTATTGGACAAGACCTTCCTTTGGATGCATCGATTTGTTCAATGATCAAAGATATCAGTCTTCAATGACTTGTCACAAATCAATCAAACCAATGTGTAAGTTCTACTTCATGAAATTAAGGACCTTAGATTTTCTTCTTCAGCAGAATTATTTGATCAATAGCTCCACATGGCCATATCAATACAAAGCCAATAGATAGATAATTCAAAAGGAATATCATTTCGAAACTTATAATGTTATGCTGGAGTTATATATATATATATATATCCCCAGTTAGCATGCAACAGGAAATATTTAAAGGGCAATAAGCATAACATAACCAGTTCGATAAAATGCTAGTAGAGAATATTATTACAAGTGCAATATATTTCAAATCATAACGTAAATCCGTGCAACAAACCATCATTACTTGGATCATAACTACATCCAATGCCAAACTGTAGGACAAATAGATCCTGTAAAAAACAGAGTAGCATGTTAAGCATTCCCAAATAATTCCATAGATAAGATTGATTTTTATTATCTTAGTTTTCCCACAAGTTAGTCAAAAGCCTGATACTTATACAACATCCAAGTTTTATTTTTATTTGAACATCATTGCCAAGTTAAAATGTTTGTCTATATTAATATAGACTCTAGTAATTTACCATCACAAGGTTATCATAAGTAAGAGTTGCATGGGAGGAAGAACAACAAGAGAAAAATATAAATCATTACCTTGCTGCTAGTCTCTGATAGTGAGGCATTTAACCACATAAACTGCAACCATAACATAGACTTTGTCTGTTACTGTGTTCATAAACCTATAGTAGGCTTCTCTCCAAGTTCGGTTGAAAATCAATGGTCCTACAACCGCCCAGAATCCAACAACAAATCCCAATCCCATGCTCAAGTAAAATTCTTGAGAGAACAATGAGGCCTCTTCTTCTTCATCATGATTGGCTTCTTGAGGTGGAGGCGTCTTATCTTCTGGGCACATCTTGTTGAGTGGCAATCCACAAAGATCAAGGTTTCCTCCATAAGATAAGGCATTAAAGCTCTGCAACTGTGTTCCTATTGGGATTTTTCCATAGAGATGATTGTTTGACAAATCTAACATACTGAGTCGATCAATATTAGCAAGGCTTGGAGGAATTGGGCTTGATAATTTATTGTTTGACAAATCGAGAAATTCTAGTGATTCTAGATTCCCAATATTTATAGGTATCTCTCCACTTAGCCAGTTCCTTGATAGGTTTAGGGAAACCAATCCTAACAAAGACATAAGTTCTCTTGGTATTTCTCCTGAAAGAGCATTGCTAGATAGATCAATGCTTTTAAGAAAGAGTTCTGGCCTTGTATACATGTAATCCTCACCTTTCCACATCAATGTTATATAGAATTCCAAACCATCAAGGGATGAATAATACCCTGTTTTATTAACCATATAATAATGATAGCTTGTGCTTAAGTTGATGTGCTCTTGTGCCATAACAGTAAAATTTTCAAGGCATGATGGAACTTCGTTGGACAAGTTATTACGAGAGAGATCCAAGAGTCGAATTTGTGTTAAGTGGCAAAGATGTACGGGTAGACTTCCATTTAAATGATTCATCCGTAAACTTAGGATTTGCAATTGTTCAAGGCTTACCCCAATCCATGAAGGTATTGGTCCTGACAACTTATTCTCTGACACATCTAATAATACTAACTTTGAGCAATTCACCAAAGACAAAGGAAGTTCTCCAGTCAAGCTATTATTTCTTAAAATCAAAGCCTCCATATTCACAAGGCATCCTATAGAGGACGGGATCTCTCCTGACAAATTATTATTGCTCATGTCAACAAATTTTAATGTGTTTTGTTGGCTCCAACACTTAGGTAGATGCCCTGTTAGTTGATTGTTTGAGAGGTCTAAAATGACAATGCCCCCCCCCACTTTCAGTTTGGCCACATACAAGTGGAATCAAATTTGAGAATTTATTTTTAGAAAGATAAAGTTTTGATGCTTTTGAAAGAAATGATGGAAGTGCACCTTTAAAGTTGTTTGAAGTCAAAATTATTTGTGAGCCTTGATAAAGCTTGAGTGGCAAGTTTGGGATTTCACCAGAAAAGTTGTTGAATGAGATATTCATGCGATCTATATTTTTCAATAGTGGCCAAAACCATTCTGGGATAGATCCTGAAAGCCCGCCATCAGAAATATCCAAAGTGGATAAATCATGTTGATTACGAAGCCAATTTGGAAAATTAGGACCCATCATGCAAGAAGCCATGTACATATATTTTATCTGGAAAGGAGGAGTCCAACTCGTGCTGATTTCCAAGCTCAGTGAATTGTAAGACAATGATAAGGCCCACAAATTAGAAAGATTTTTGAAATGAGATTTGGTGACTATGCCTCCCAAATTGTTCCCATCCAAATACAAATATTCCAGTTGAGACATCAATCCAATGCTTTTAGGTATTTTTCCTTCTAATTGGTTACTAGAGAGATCCAAATATTGCAAAAAGGAAAAACTTGAAAGATTAGGTAAGATGCCCGTCAATCGATTTCCTGCTAAATCCAATCTCTGTAATGAATGTCTATTGCACCATGATATATTATAAATGAATCTTGAAAGGTCCCCACTGAAGTTATTGTAGCCAAGCTTTAAGCTTTTCAATGTGCATATATTCCCTAGTGATGTTGGGATTTCACCTTGGAGATTAGTAGAGGAGAGATCAAGAACTTCAAGAGACTTCATTACGTTTCCAAAGCCATCAGGAACGGAACTGCTAAGCGAATTGTAAGAGAGATCCAGTCCATGAAGATTGAAGGTGAAGTTGGAAATCCAATAGAATATGGCTGATGATGTCAGCTGATTGTCATAGAGATCAAGATGGACAAGAGAGGAGAGGTTGGGATTGAAAGACGTGAAGATAAGATTATTTGAGGTAAGGCTACAATTGTGTAAATAAAGTGACTGAAGATTTGAGCCAAAGTTCAACGTCATTACTGACGTCAAGTTATTATAGGAGAGATCAAGAACAATGAGGGAAGGAAAATGAAAATGAGAAGATAGAAAGTAGAGATTATGAGATGAAAGACTACAATTTATCATATAAAGCTGTTGAAGGCTAGAGCTGAAGTTGAAGGGCCATTGAAACAATGAAGAGTTCAAGTTATTATAAGAGAGATCAAGGGTGACAAGAGAATAAGAATAGTTGGAAGGAGAAGCAAACAGAAGAAGGTTATGCACATGAGAAATGCCACATCCTCTCAGTCTCAATTCTGTTAGTTTCGGCACAAGTTTACCAATACTGTGCTGCCACACCTGAGAATTGCCAACATCACTCACATAACTCAACTCAAGATTTGTTAATAAAGAGAGCTTTGATATCCACTCTGCATCACCATTCTTTCTGTCAGCTACTGTGAGGTTAGAACCATCACCACTGAGTCGCAAAGTGTGGAGCTTGGAGAGATTACCAAGTTGATAAGGAATCACTCCAACAAGATTATTTCCTCCAAGATGAAGGGACCGCAACTTGGAAAGATTTCCGATTTGCCAAGGGATAGTTCCATCCAAGTAATTGTTACTCAGATCAATATATTGTAAGTTTGAAAGCTTTCCCAATTCATTGGGAATACTCCCAACAAAAATAGAATAAGAGAGGTTGAGATACCTTAAGTTGGTGAATGACTCTATGGATTGAGGGATGTCACTTGGATAGAAATTATTGTAACTGAGATCCAAATGTTTCAGATCATGCAACTCACTTAACAAAGTAATATTAATGGTACCAGCCATATAAAGTGGATGTGAACCGTGGAGATCAAGGATTTGAACATGACCTGTTTGCTTGCTGCAACGAACTCCTTTCCAGTTGCAACAATCTTCATCATCTCCGTCCCTCCATGTGGACAGTATACCATGGTCAACAGAGATGCCTTGTTTGAACAACAGAAGAGCTTTCCTCTCCTTCTCGATGCACTTCTTCAATGCTTCAGCATCAGTGGCCAAACTGAGTCTTGTATGCAGCAACAACAGCAATGTCAATAATGCATTAAAAAAATTGAACACACAGCCCATCACAGTGATGAAATAGCTTCAACACAAGTTCAGAAGAGAAACAATGAGAGAGTATTAAAACACAATTCTTGGATAAACCGTGGTTTCTTTTTGTTTATTTTTCTCAGCTCACGAGGTGTTGTGAGGCGTAAAATGTGTATGGTACGTAGAATTTTTATAGAGTTCATTGTGGGGCTGTACTTTGATAGATCACTGGTACACTTTCTGATGAAGAGAAGTCAGAGTAGATGGGGAGAGAACACGTTATTTCAACAACCTCTTTTTTTTTTGAAAAAAAGATAAAAATTCAAAAATAAATGCACAAAGTTTTCGGAATCCATAATATTGAGCATTTTTGTTGGTGTCGGATAGTGTGCTCTTGTAAGATACTATTATTTTGCTTTGACAAAAGTGCTCTCTTTTTCTAACAAAACATTCTCGCACAAATAACACTCGCAATTGAAAGGTGGAATTCTTAAATCTAAACATTTTAAAAGCTGTTAAATTACTAAAAAATTCCCTTCTTATTTTTAGCAACCATTTTGCAGTTTTCATATATATATATATATATACTCCTCCGGTCCTAAATATAAGACCCACTTTGTAGTATAAATTGCACTACAAAGTGGGTCTTATATTTATGACTGGAAGAGTATATTTATATCTAGTCTCCTGTCTGCGTAACAGCAATTGTTCTATCAAATCGCAAGTCCTAATTACAATATCAGATTATTTAATAATATTGTGGTTGTTTCCAATATTAGATTATTTAAATTAGATGCGTCTCAATATTAATTCTTAGCGCAGCGAGTTAGATGATTCCATATTTTTTTAAATTTTAAATCTTTATCTTATTGTAACCATGCTCTTGTGACGGCTAAATTTTTATTTTCAACATAAGATTTATGGTTGTTATATTATAAAATTATGAGTCAATTAAAGTCTTCCTCCTTTTGCCCCCACAATGAAGAAATCTCCCTCAAATGAAAAAAAGGCAAAGTATATTCCCTCACTGATTTTCCAAGAAGCTTCACGGCCGTCTTAGATTATATTAGACTAAGCTACAATGATCTTACCTTTACGGAGGATATATATATATATATATATATATATATATAACTCGCGCATTAAAGTCTCACTTTAAATAAATCATAATTTATGAAAATTATGTTTATTTGTAAATTTGGTGTGAAAACAGAAAGTCATTAAAATATTGAGAATAAATTAGAATAAAATCTAAACTATTCACTCTGGTAAAAAAAAAAACTAAACTATTCACCTTTTAAATGAACAATTAAAATATATACGCTCTTATATTATATCCCAATTCCCTTGTAACTGGGGATATTGTGACCTGAACTGAATTCAATATGCAAACCATAGATAAATAATCATTATTGTTTATCTGCTGCACAGCTTAATAGATGGTTGGGAAAGATTTAGCTACTCTAGAATTAACGACATGTATATTCTACGAGAAGAAATATTTAGATATAAATATTTTTGTTTGGCGGGTTGAGATAAATAATTTGATTTCAAAACCTTCAATCACTTACATAATTACATACACTCCTTAAAAATACTATCTATAAGTTAAGTCACATAATTTGATACTTTATAAAATGTTATATGATACTAACTCCAGTCCTAATTATAAAACTTTATTTGTAGTCTACAAACAGGATTTTATAATTAGAACCAGAGGTAGTATTAATCATAACATAGCTAGATAATTACCAGGAGAAAAAAAAAACATAACTAGATATAGGCTTTTATATACAGAGAGTTTTCAAAATAACATAACTAGCTAATAACTTGTATACTTTTCCGATGAAGGAAAGTCATCAGAGGATATTATTTCAACAAAAATAAATGACAATGTTTTCTCGGAGCTCATAATATTGAGAATTTTGCTGGTGTTGGAGACTGTGCTCTTGCAAGATATTATTATTTTGCTGGGACAAAAATATTACTCCTCCGGTCCTTAATATAGGACCTATTTAACTAATTTGATTAGATTAAGGAAGTTAGGTAAGTTAGTTAATTATAAGAAATGTGACACGTTTTTCCTAAAACACTATAATTATCTTACTTAATACCCCTCTCTCTCTTCTACTTGATTATGGTTGAGAGAGTATCCATAAAGGTAATTTAGAGAAAATTAATAAATATGAGAAATGGGTCTTATATTTAAGACCAAAACCAACTCAACAATTAGGTCCTATATTAAAGACCGGAGGAGTACCTCTGGTCCTATAAAGGAGGTTTTATAATTAGGAATGACGTAGTATTGTCTTTTGCAACCAAACATTTTGTCTTTTCCAATTAAAAGTTGGAATTCATCATTTAATTCAGAAGCCAAAAGAAAAAAAAAATCCATCTCTTAATTTATTGGCGGCATTTCAAAACGGTGAAAATGTGATCTTAAATCTAATTAATTTAAAAGAAGAAATACCATTTTGCCGCTTTCATAATCTACAACATTAGTTTACTTAAATTGGACGCGTTCTTAATATTCTTAGCGAGTGGGATGACTTCGTTTTTTTTTTTTTTTTAAATCCTTATTTCATCGTAACCGTGCTTATATGACGTTAAATCTTTATTTTCAATTGGCAAAAAAATAATTCTTTATTTTCAAAATATGTCCTTAGTTTTATTAAAAAAAGGTACGCCACTATAATTTCAAAATAGGCTGAAAGTACTATTTTATAAATTTAAATTATATTTGGCCAAAATAGATTTTTCTATGGATAAGAAGTATTTTCTGCCAATAACGAAAATTAATTATCCTTAAAAGACTTCTATAACTTAAGACACAGAAGTCGTTACCACTCATATGTTGAGTTATCCAAAATTTATTTTACGGACCAACCTGTATTTTTTCACATAATTAAACTTGCTCTTTCAAGAGAATAGAATAATGTATTTTATACAATTTTTCCAGGGATTCAAAAGATCATTGTTTCCCAAATTAAAGGAACAAATTTTTACATAAACTTTAAAAACTAATTTTAAAATTAAAACATTTATCTAATTTTTTATGTTATGTTACTAAAAAAAAAAGCTTTTAGCTGCATTTCGCTTCTCCGCTTTAATAAATAATATGAATGCTAGTTCATAAAATCAAACTTTAAAGTTGGATCTTGATTTTCTTAAGACCATAGTTTTATTTCATGGCCCTTTAATCTGTTCTTTCAATAACTTATATGACCCATGCTATGCACAGAAATTGAAGTGGAATTATTAAAATGCCTTTTCATTATTTTAATGTATTTTTAGGCCATTCTCTCCTCAAAGCTTCACGCATTATGTTGATATAAATGGCTTACATGGATTATAAAAAGAAAAGGATATTTGGACTATTAATTATGCACCAAACTTCTTGTTTAGCTATTGTATCTTAGTTGCTAGTAAAAAAAAAAAAATTGTATCTTAGTTATTTTGAAGGAAACAACATTTTTTTTATTTTCAACTTGTAAATTAAAATTTCTTTTTAAATTGATGGTTTCTTGTCAATCACACCCGTCCTCTTTGGCGAAAATAAAAATCATACATGAACTTTTCTCAATCATGACTTACACTCTGTTCAGAAAACTTGTAGGAAAAAATGACAAAGTAAAGTATAATCTGATCCCTCGAAAAGAATGGCCGAATCTCCATGGTGAATATTCAACAACGAACCACCATTTTCACTCTAATTTAATTTCCACATGTCAGACAAAAGTATCTGTCCTAGGCTCAGGATTGACTATCATCTATGCTCTAATTTCAAATTGATGCAGTTTCGTGGAAAGCTCCATTCAACTACTATATATAAGAAAATATTTGTGGAGAATAAAAAATTTTCTATGAGATCTTGATGCAAGAATCGAAACAAAATGGATTCAAGAAAAATGAAAAAAAATCATTGGAAAAAAAAATAGTACTTGTCGACAAGAAATTAAATACTTTGTCCAATTCTTGGTTTCATAAGGGAGACCCTCAAAGAGTTTACCGAAGAAAATTCGAGCAAAGAAAAGGTATCACAGAAAAGGATTGATAACAACCCACTAACTATTTCCTAGCAATTTCTTGAGATGTTTAAATTAAACCAACTTATTTTCAAGTATCAAAACCACTCCCATCAATATAAAATATCAATTTGATAACAAGTTTACCTTTACAGTATCTCTATGTCTCACTATGAATTAATTGCATGTGGATGGACCAGAAATATTGATATATGCCTATTTCCAGTTGTAACCAACACTCAAGCTTGTTGTTTAATTTACAGTGATATATCAAAGTTTTAAATATTTGTCTATAACAATTAAAATAAATTAATGGGGGCGAAAACGGATTGGCTTGGTGGGGGAAAGATAAGTTAGTTGTCATTACTTAGCAAATTTTCCAAAGGAGCTTTGATCCTTTAGCTTTAGAGGGGTGACTTTGACTTTTGGAGTCAAGAGAAAACAAACGGGAAAAAATTATTGAGTAAAATATACTGACTTTCTTTACATTTTGCTTTAATTATACCAATCTTCTCTTTATTTTGAAAACATATACCTTAATATAAACCATTAACTTCGTTGAGAATATTTTAAAAGATATTTTTTAATTAAAAGTTATATTAAGATATTTTTTATTTACTAATTTACCCTTCATAACACTAAATCCATAAATTTACAATTTTTTTCTTAATTTTATTTTTTATTTTCCAAATATTTATTTGCTTAGCGTTTTTATCATATTTGGATGGACAATTAACTTATTTATTTAATGTAGACATAAAAACCTTGAATGAAAACTTGATTAATTCTTTGAATAAATATATAATAGATCAAATATTTATAAATTTTTCCAACAAAATTTTTATTTCAAAATTTTAAATTATAAATTTAAATGATTTCTATAATCTCTCAAACTTAAACCATTTATATTATACGATGAAAAAATATTTATTTAACATATTTTTTGGCTATCTAAAAAAAATTTAAGTAACTAAGTTTCATTATGCAGTAAAAAATTAAATTTATAAAATT